TACTGCAACAATAAAGAGTAATTTTTGCATCATTCATTTTTGCTGATGATAGGTAGCCGGGGAGAAAAGTAAATGAATGTATTATCATTTATTTATATTCTCATTGTTAGCGATCAAATACTTTGCTTTGGGTATTTTCGCAAAGACGGCCGGCGCTCGGAGCGCGGCGGTCCGTCCGCCGCGCCGCGCCGGGCACATATGTGTCATCTGGCTCCTGTCCTGGTTCTCAGGCCCACGTGTTGTGCTACCACGAGGGCTGAGACGGGACGGGGGCCCGACAGTCTTCGACGGGACTTCACCGGTGCGCGACGGCCCGGTGCACGACGTGGCCGACGTGGCCTTACGTACGACGCGGCCGACGTGGCCCTACGAGAACGATTAGTGAACTGCATTTGTGACCCCCGTATTTTGTGCATTTTAACCGCTTCCGTTTCATTCAACAATAGACTTTTACTTATATGAACAATAACTTTATGGTCCTCCGGGGGACGGAAGAGAACGAGTACGAGAACGAGTGAACGATCACGAGCACGCACGAACATTAACGTATCGAACGGGTGAACTAAACGATTCTCGCGAACACTCATAGCTATGCTCTTTGCGAGGACGTTAAGAAGAATATCTAACTAACAAATAAATTGGCGTTCATGAAATGCATACGGCTGTTCAGTATTGACATAGTACCAATAAAAATATATGCACCATCTAGGTGGAAAATTGACATAATTGACATAAACTCAACTTATCGTTTTTGGCACACGTCATATGCTCCAGGGTCTTCCCAAGATTTCCATTAAAGTAAATGGTGTGACTGTGCAGGAGGTTGAGCGAGTAAAGAATTTGGGGCTGGTTATGGACCGACACTTATCTTTTGAAACGCATGTCAACCAACTGGTTGCAAAGTGCACCGGGCTACTTATAGCTTTGAGCCATGCGAGGCATCGTTTACCTGAAGGTGTGCTACCAGTGATCGTGAGTGGCTTGGTTATTTCTCTGATTCGATACTGCATTGTTGTATACGGAAACTCAACTACACACTCAGTGACGCGCATTCAGAAACTGTTAAACTTTTGCGCAAGAGTGGTGTCAGGGCGGAAAAAGCGGGAACATGTGCGTGATGTGTTGAGCGAGTTGAACTGGTTGCCTGCCGAGGACCTCGTGATGTATCGTACACTGTGTCTGCTGAAAGCCATCCTCACCTACGAACAACCGGCTGACTTGGCGAGTCACTTTCGAACGGCGATGAGTGTGAGGCAGAGATCGACCAGGCAGGACGACCATCTTGTTTTACCACGCATCAGAACAGAGTCAGGGAGGAGAATGTTCATCTACCGGGGGGCCCGAGCATATAATGCCCTACCACCCTCCGTACGGGACGGACGCACCGCGGCTTTCAAAAACGCTTTGCGGATACACATGGGTCAGGCGCGGCAGATGCAGGTGTGAGCGTGCTCGTGTGTGGTACCTTTTAGCATTCTTTCATTGGGTTAGTTGCCTTTTGCATTGTTTTATGTCGTATTAGTGTCGTGTGTGTATACCTTTTATCCCACAACTGACGTAAGCACATGAAAAGCCGGTGTATGTTTACCTGGATGAGCTTGAAATACATTCTGAATTCTGAATTCTACCAGGGGGTGCTTTTCCAGCACCTGGCGAGTGGCAGAGTCAAATTATTGCGCAGTAAAGCACATATTATAAGCACCCTTTTCTACAGCATCACTATCCTCGCGACTAACGCAAAGCAGCTTGTGTCTCAGATGAAATGCAAGCAACCATTTGAGCATTATTACGTGGTAACCTTTTAATTTCAGGGGCGTGCTCGAGCACCCCCAAAACCCCTTATTCTCCACCCATGATATGCTTGCACAGATGTCATTTATTCATATGACTCTTATAAGGAAAGACCTATCTTTAGAGGCTGCATTTTGATTGTTCTTGGCACCCATCCACATTACAGCAAATCGATTATAACACTGCATAGACGTCCTTCAAATTGCAGTCTCATACCATAACTGCGACGTGTATCGTTATGCCACAGGCAATACAGTGGTCATGTCAACTGCGATCAGACGTAGCCCGTGAGTCCATCTACCGCTCGCTAAGCCTGCTGTATGTGAGTGAGTGGCCAGTACGGGGAGGCCGATGGCACGCCGCCGCCGGCCCGGCCTGACCAGTGGAGCGTCTGGCTATCGTCCAGCCGTGCACGGTGTGTTCCGTTTCCGGCGGGCTGAGTCCCTCGGCCGGGCCGGGCCGGCCGTGGCGCGTCTCGCTGTGGCCGTCTGTCCGATCGGCCGCGTCCCCCTCACCGACCCCTCCGGCCCAGACGGGTCCGTCTGGCGAGACGTTCCGAGCGGTGTGTCCATGTGGAGTGAATGCACTGCTAGCCACTGCAGCTGTTTGGTGCCCGGCTGCCGGAATAGAGTGTCGGAGCGGCGGCAGAGGAGTGACGGCAGCTGTTTGTGGTGGATTCTGACGGAGCTGACCACCGGCACAATAAGACTGCAGCGGCACCAGCCACGGGGAGGGGGCTGCAGCTGGGAGTGTCACCGGACCGCTCTCCGTGCCGGCAGCTGACACTGACCGGGGGCCGGTCTGACACTGTCAGGGGCTGCAGTGTCAGTGTGTCAGTTCAGCTGACAGTCGGAGGACCAGCAGCTGGACACAGCTGACACTGTATATATATAGACCACTGTCACTCCGACACTGACACGGACTGGGACGGCACGCGCGGTGTGACGTCACACTGGCCTCCAACACGGCCTCCAACAGCCACCCGGCTGTGGGCACGGACACACCGGCTGCAGCCAGTATAACGCTCGCCGCTGTGCTGGAGCCGCCCGCTGGCCACAGCAGCGACGGGGGCTGACAATCGTCCCGCACGGCAACGGAAAGGCCACACGACGGCAACGGGGGTGACTGCTGTGGTGAGATTTTCCGATAAATACGGGAATGGCTGTGAGCTCGGTATTATTTTGTGTGTATTTGACGAGAGCTGACCGTTCGATTTTGTGAGTGTGTTGATGGACAGGCGAGGGTGATAAGTTGATTTAGTGAGTGCGTTGATGGACAGACGAGGGTGATTAGTTGATGTTGTGAGTGCGTTGATGGTCAGGCGAGGTCACGTGGTTGACAGCGAGACAAGCCCGCTGCTGGATGTGCTGTGACAGTGTGTCGGTGCTTGTTGTCGGTGTCTGGTGGTGCAGCTGGCGGCGGCCCGCTGCCATACGGGAGCGGTCGGTCGGCAGGCCGCTCGGCGGCTCGTCCAGCCGGTAGTTGGTGTCAGATCTCTGAGGCCGGTGGGTCAGAGCCGGTGAGCCCGGTCAGGGCACGGCCGGAGCACGGCCACGGCCCCGGCGGCGGCACGGCGTGCTTGTCAGTGGGCCGGCCGTGACCTGGCGGTGACCGGTCGGTCTGTCTGCCGACCGGCCAAACTGTACTCAGGTCACCAGGACATTAGCACAGATGATGAGGTAAGCTCCGAAGGTAACGGTTTTCCAGGACAAAGACTGGACATGTGTAAAATGTATTAGTCTGTGTCTCTCTGTTTGTTCACATAGTTTGTATTCTAGCCTTGTCGCGTAGGGTCGGCGTCGGGTCATAAGTGGTCATAAATGGAGGTCTATGGCCACACATGTGCGCGGCAGCAGGGACACGCCGGCCCGTATATCGGGCGGCCCGGCTGGACATTGGGAGACGGGCGGGCAGTGGAGAGCAGGGCGGGAGAGAGAGAGGACGGGTCGGTGTGCGCGTTGAGATGTCTGAAGGGTGAAGAAATACAGTCTACGATAGACGCAAAGTTTGAATGCCACAAGCTATTTCGGCATTTTTTTGACAAGTGGTGAGAAGATGCCGAGTGTCGAGGAGGAGACCAGTGACACCGCGGGAAGAGCGGTGATGGAGGTGACTCCGGCGTTCGACGCCAGGACTATTCCGGAGTTCGACGGAACTGGAAACGTAGTGGAGTGGCTGGAGCAGGCTGCTCTCCTGTGCGAGCTGCGATCAGTGTCCTTGATGGCTGTGTTGCCGACTCGCCTGCGCGGCGGTGCTTTCGCGGTGTGGTCCCGAATGCCCGCAGCGACTCGTCATCAGCTGCCCAGCGTGAAGGCCAAGCTGCTGAGGGCCTTCGCCATGGACCCGTTCACAGCGCAGGCGGAAATGGCTCGGCGTCGCCTTCATCCCGGAGAGACGGCGGATGTGTACTTAGCGGCGCTGCAGCAGCTCGCTGAGTTAATGGGAGGTCTGCCGGAGAGAGCTATCGCCATCACCTTCGTCAATGGGCTGCCGGAGGCTGCGCAAGCTGCGGTTCGGGACGGGCTCGGAGACGAGTTCACTCTCGAGTACGTCCTGGACCGAGCGAGAGCCGTACTGTCCAGGACAGCAGTCACGGCAGCGCCACCGGCGGCGGCAGCGGCGGCGGCGGCGGCGGCGGCGGCGGCGGGGGCGGCGGCGGCGGCGGCGAGTGGGCCATCACGTGACATTTCAAGGTCAAGTCGCCGGCCGGCTCCGATCAGATGCTGGATATGTGGTCGCCCAGGTCATATCGCCCGGATGTGCCCAAACGGCTGCGGCGGGGGAGCTGCATCAGCGCCAGCACCTCCTCCGCCGTCCACCGAGCCGGCAGCAGAGCGCCGGTAATCCAGATGCTGCTCGACGGGCGACCGTGTCACGCGCTGGTGGACACGGGCTGCGAGGAGACCGTGGTGTTCGCGGGTTGTGTCGATAAATGGGATCGATGTGAGACAAACTTGACCGCGGTGAATGGGAGTGTCGTGCGATGCAGCGGGAGTGCAGAGGTGCTGCTGGAGGCACAAGGCCGGCGGGCGGTGGTCCGGGCTGTGGTAGTGGCGGAAAGGTTGTTGGGTGTTGACGTGCTGTTGGGCATGACCGGGTTAGAGGCGCTGGGTGGTGTGTTTGTTAGTGGTGGAGAGGTGCGTTTTGGTGGTAAAGTGGTGACGGGGGAGCGTTCGGGGTGCGCCGGTGTAAAGGCAGAATCGAGCGGTATGTCGGCAGCGGTGTCTCAGGGGCGTGGTCCAGTGGACAGACAGATCGAGACGGCTGATTTTGTGGCTAAGTTCAGCGACGGAAAGTGGACAGTTTGGTGGAAGTGGGCCGACGGAAAGGAGCCAAAACAACTCAAGAATACTGTGCCGCAATATCGCGTGCCGGCAGAGTCGCAGGAGCGGTTCGACGCAGAGTTACGGCTGTGGATCGAGGAAGGGTGGCTGCAACCGTACAATGAGCAGGAACACGGGCCGGTGCGTGGCCTAATTCCGCTCATGGCGGTCACCCAGGAAGCCAAGGACAAGGTCAGGCCGGTGCTCGACTACCGTGAACTGAATGAGCACCTGGTGGCTCATACGGCTGAAGCTGATGTGTGCCGCGACCAGCTCCGCAAGTGGCGGCAACACGGCGACGATGTGGCCGTCATCGACCTGAAGAAGGCGTTTCTGCAGCTGCACGTGGCCCAGGAGCTGTGGCCGTTTCAGACGGTAATCGTGGACGGCCAGCGACATTGTCTGACAAGGGTCGGATTTGGTCTCAGCGTTGCAAGCGGCATCATGCGAGCGGTAGTGCGGGAAGTTTTGGATCAAAGTCCAGAGATCGCAAAAGCAGTGCTCCCGTACGCTGACGACCTGCTCGTCAACGAGACGCTCATCTCGGCTGAGCGGGTGGCCGAACATTTTTCCGCATACGGGCTCTCGTGTAAGCCACCGGAACGGGTAGCGGATGAGGCCGGAGCCAGGATGCTGGGGCTCCGAGTGAGACGGCAGTCTGGCGGTGACGGCACACTGAGATGGTCTCGGGACGGCGTGACACCAGCTGAGCCACCCGGGGTGCTGACCAGGCGGTCAATCTTCGCCTGGGCGGGTCAGCTAACCTCACACGTGCCCGTCGCCGGGTGGCTGCGGCCGGCCGCTGCCTGGCTGAAAAGGGCGGCGAACAAGGTCACCAAAGATTGGGACTCACCGATCACCGACGATGACCTGCGCAAACAAGTCAGTGATGTGGCCCGGCGGCTGGCAGAGTGTGACCCGGCACGAGGACAGTGGTGCGTCTCAGGAGACTCGGTGACGGTGTGGACTGATGCCAGCTCCATCGCCCGCGGCGTAGTGCTAAGTGACCCCACCACGGGTGAGGTTATCGAAGACGCCGCGTGGCTCCGATCTGACAGTGACTCAGACATGCACATAAACCTATCGGAGCTGGATGCCGCGCTGAACGGTATGAATATGGCGGTGGCGTGGGGATTCAAGCGTGTGATCCTCCGCACAGACTCTGTCACTGTTCAGCGCTGGCTGACCGACGCTCTGACAGGCCGTGCCCGACTGAGAACGAAGGCACAGTCGGAAATGCTGGTTCGGCGGCGGGTGGCCGTTTTCAAGCAGCTCTCCAGCGAGTACGACCTCGTCGTGACAGTGGAGCTCGTGCCGTCGGCTGCCAACCGTGCAGACGAACTCACGAGAGTACCAAAAGAGAGGATCAGAACCGGAAGCGAGCAGGCGACAGGTGTGGTGGCGGCCGTTAGGACAGCTCGACCGGAGGACATAATGGCGGTGCATGAAAGTGTGGGACACCAGGGAGTGCGGCGGACGTGGTGGTATGCGCGCCGAGAGCTGGGAAAGAGCGTGACGAAGTCGGCCGTTCGTCAGATCGTTAGATCGTGCCAGGTGTGTGCGTCGATCGACCCAGCCCCGTCGCGCTGGAAGCATGGTGCCTTGGCGGTCGAGCGCAACTGGGAGCGGCTGGCAATGGACGTAACCCATTTCCGCGGAAAACACTATCTCACCGTGATTGACTGTGGGCCGTCGCGATACGCCATGTGGCGTGAGATCCGCCGCTCTGACGGGAGCGAGATCGTCAGACAACTCGAGGCTCTGTTTTTGGAGCGAGGAGCACCGGCCGAGCTTCTAATGGATAATGCGACCGAATTCAAGGGTCGAGAGCTGAAGGCGTTCGCGGTGCGGTGGGACGTCGAGCTGAGGTATCGCGCGGCCTATGAACCTGGTGGGAATGGCATCATCGAGCGCCACCACCGCACCATCAAAGTGATGGCCGCCCGTCAGGGATGCACCGTACCAGAAGCCGTGCACCGATATAATGTCACGCCCAAGGACGGGCGTGATATTACCACGGCCCCGATACATGGTGCCTACCGTCAGGCTGGCAGAGACTTGTGCGTGCAGTCACAGGGAAACACAGCTGCTCCTCCTCAGACGGCCGGCCAGCCTGGTGTGTATCAGCCCGGTGATGCGGTGTGGGTCCGAAAACGGGGCGATCGGTGCACCGCCGTGTCAAAGGAGGGCACTGTCACCAACGTCGTATCCGCTCAGACGATTGAAGTGGATGGAGTCCCATGGCACGTGCGGAACATTCGTCATCGTCTTGCCAACAACGGTGACGACGCAATGGCTGCTTCGACGGATGATGAGCAGGAAGAGGAGATCGCCTGTCCGGTTCCGACCGCCCATGTGCCTGGACAGCTGGCCATTGAGGCGCCGGCGGCGGTGGAGCCGTCAGAGCTGACCCCAGCTGTCGCGCCGACCGAGCAGACCGAGCCGGTCCCTCGAGCAGCAGCTGAGGCGGATGGCGGTGCCGGAACAGAGGAGCGGATCCATACAGTGAAAGTTGTAAAAACGGAAACTGAGGGATTGTCAAACGACCGTGTGAACGAAGGTAGAGCGCCAGCGGAAAGTGTAGATAATATCGATAGTTATAGTGACGTGCTAAGAAGGGGTTTGCGCTGCAGGCGTGCGCCGCAACTCTTCGGCGCTCCCATCCCCCATTAGTTAAACTGTAGTTAGATGTGTTCTTTAGGAACAGGGGGGAATGTGTCTCTCTGTTTGTTCACATAGTTTGTATTCTAGCCTTGTCGCGTAGGGTCGGCGTCGGGTCATAAGTGGTCATAAATGGAGGTCTATGGCCACACATGTGCGCGGCAGCAGGGACACGCCGGCCCGTATATCGGGCGGCCCGGCTGGACATTGGGAGACGGGCGGGCAGTGGAGAGCAGGGCGGGAGAGAAAGAGGACGGGTCGGTGTGCGCGTTGAGATGTCTGAAGAGTGAAGAAATACAGTCTACGATAGACGCAAAGTTTGAATGCCACAGATGTATAGACAAATAGATATATATTGAGTAGGAAAAACATACAGCACATGGGTGGACGCGTTTCGTCAGAGACTTTTCAACACCCGAATATTGACAAAACAATACGAACACAAAAGAACAAAGCTAGCAAGCACAGTTTCATACCTGTTGATATATCGCGTGTACATATTATGAGAATGTGCCTAAATGCAAATACACTTCCAATACTGCGCGTCAGTTAAATGGCAAAGAAAGAGAGAATACATATATAAGACAATTCATGTTGACAGTATCTGTTTTTCTATTTAACATTTATTTTATAATCTGAGTACAATATACGGCCGCAGATTTTGCCCATTTTATAAACCCAACCCGTGTATTGATCGTTTCGTTCGTTGCAATGTATGCCGCTTCCGTCGCCTTTCTACTCCCCTTGTTTTTGCACTTCGCTATCACTTTCGCCCCTCCCCAATTCGGTAAATGATTCGTTGAGTGAGCATGAAGCACGAATGCACTGTGTTCCATGTCGTTTCTTACATCTATATTACTATTTGAGGTGACGTAGTTTCTGTCTATTACGAAGGTCGCGACATGGTGCTACGTAGCGCGGGTTACAGGTCACACCGTTGCACCTACCGCGCTGAAGTTTGCGCAACTCATAGAACAAGGATGGACAACGTGCCTTTGAGCGGTCTCGGCTCGATCGGATCGATAGCGAGCGCGTGGCGCGTGCCCAAAAAGTGCAAATTCGCGTCATAGACTTTACATGTATAAATCGGCTGGCAAAAACGGGCGAAAATGGCTAAATTTGCCCGACACGGGTCCGGTCCCGGTGCAATATCTCGGTAACCGTGGGCCCGACCGGTACGGGGAAAACAGCATCGTGTAGAGAATCGAACGGGCTATCGAATGGTGTGCGGTGCAGGGGTTGGCACGCGCCACGTGCACCGGGGAGGACACTTTCTTATGAAAAATGGACGTTTTGGACGGATTTTGGAATTTATATTAATTTCAGGTGATCGTCAGACGGAATGAGTTGAAACAGCGCCTATTAGCAATAAAAATGTACCGTCTCTCATGGAAAAATTGTGAAAAGCTAATTGATCAAAAACAATGTGGAAAAAATCGCTGAATTAAATGGTATTTGTCCAAAATGTGCCACTAAATAATTACACGGATTTTGCTGCTTAAACTGATACGTTTGACAATTGAAAATGCTATCATTGGAAAGAGCATTCAATTCTCTCCAAGATCCAATCATCACGTTTGCATGACAAGCAACAGTATTCTTAAAAATATAAATGTTTCAAACCTCTGCAAAACGATTTTTAGTGAAAATTATCTACGCCTTTAATTTGTCATAAAACTACGCGCCTAAATTATAAAGCACATTTGACAGATTCTTAAGTGGAAAGCATGCTTATCAGACATGGGCACCTCGATGCGGTGGATATTTTTTCCACAAACCAAAACGTTTAGCCGTCAAAAAGCAATCGACCGAAATGGATAGATAACCCAACCGACACAAGAACAACCGAACACCCGCCGATCGAAAATATCCCTTTTCGCGTTGCGGAGCACGCGGGTCACCCTAGTCTCTCCTATGTTCTTTTAATCTTTTGTCCATGCCTCTACCTGTTTCACCTATATATGACTTTTCACAATGCCCACAGGGTACCTGATATACAACGCTAAGATCTACATTCTTACTTATTTTCTTTTGCGTGATCTCTCCTATTTTTCTGCCAGAAGTCAATGCGACTTTGACGCCTGTCGTTTCAAGTTCTTTCGCGATGTTTTCGGCTGCTTTTGAGTTCGGTAATGAAATATATCTTATGTCGTTCTTTCGTTTCGCTTCAGCTTTTGCTCTGTTTCGAATGTTCAGCGCTTTTTTCTTGAGACGAATGAGATAGCCTTTGGGATATTTAAGCTTCATGAAACTGGAAAAGATGTGCTCAATTTCTTCAGCAAGATACTCCTCACTACAAATACGAAAAGCCCTTAAGAAAAAGCCCAATACCACCCCACTTTTCACTCTATCACTATGACCGGAAAAGAAATGAACATAATCTTCCCGGTTTGTAGGCTTACGATATACTTTGAATTTTGCACGACTATCGCTTCGGACTACTTCCGTATCTAAGAAAGCAATGGAACCTCCCTTTTCTGTTTCCACAGTAAACGGAATCTTCGGGTCGACTGCGTTGAGTTCGTTGACTTTGGCGTTCAAATCGATCGTTTTTGGTACTACTACCAGCACGTCATCGACGTATCGTACCCACAGAACATTGTCCCCCATAATATTTTGGTACCTGTTTTGTTCCAGCCATTCCAAATACAGGCACGCTGCTACTGGACTCAAGGGTGAACCCATTGCCAGCCCGCTGTGTTGGCTGTAATCATCCGACTCAAATACAAAACCCCCAAAGTTCATACACATTGACACAAGCTTAAAGTAGTCAGACTTTGCGAGCGGCAACTGGTTCGCATCGATCTTATCAACTACATCTTTGATCACTTTTAGGGCGTCGTCTACGGGTACATTCGTGAACAGTGATTTTACATCAAGACTAGCCATGTACTTATCTGTGAAGTCGAAGTCTTTAAGTCGTTCAATTAAGTCGTTGCTGTTCCGTAGGTGTGCATCACTGATGGCACCCAGACTATTCGATAAGGGCTTTGCCAGTACTTTTGCGAGTCGATGTGGCGCGCTGCCGATTCCTGACGTAATGGGCCGTAGTGGGATGCCGTCCTTGTGGAGTTTTGGAAGTCCACGCATCTTTGGAGTTTCTGGTGATTCTTCTAAAAGATGCAATAGCTGTTTTCCTTTTTCCGATTTTCGTAGAAGTTTTCTTGCCTCCTGGTTGAATTTCTTACTTGCCTTTTCGACAAATCCGTGTGGTCTTTTCTTGTATGTGTCATTGTCATTCATCAGCTCTTTCATTTTACTTACATAGTCAGCCTTATCCATAATAACCACTCCCCCACCTTTGTCCGCAGGTGTGATCACTATAGTCGGATCGTTGGCAAGACTTTGGAGTGCCTTCATGTATCGTCTGGGTATCTTGTCTGGTTCATTGTCCGATAAGGCTTTGCAGCACAGCAGTATTCCTTGGATAAATCCCTTTTCTATATCATCCTCATGATTCTTGTAATTTCGCTGGACGTGGTCCATGTAGTTGCTCTTATCTCTTCCGGAGTCGAATTTCATGCCAAGTGCTAATGCTTCTTTCTCATCGTCATTTAGATGTCGTGAAGAAAGATTTGTCAAAATGTCCGTGTTACCTGCTTCGCCCCAAGGGCTGTTCATGCACAGCGTGTGTAACTTTCGTTTCAGGTTCATCTGTTGGCGTTCGTTGAAATCGTTCAGCTTCGTTCGTAAGGTTGCTGGTAGCGGTACTCCAATGACTTCGTCCTTCAGTTCATGTATCTTATTTCGTAACTCGGTACAAGCCTCTTCTAGATAACAACGAGCTGATTCGCCAAAAGGGTGATCAGCTCTGATCACGTATCATCATCGCGAAAGAACTTGAAACGACAGGCGTCAAAGTCGCATTGACTTCTGGCAGAAAAATAGGAGAGATCACGCAAAAGAAAATAAGTAAGAATGTAGATCTTAGCGTTGTATATCAGGTACCCTGTGGGCATTGTGAAAAGTCATATATAGGTGAAACAGGTAGAGGCATGGACAAAAGATTAAAGGAACATAGGAGAGATGTAAGAAACGACATGGAACACAGTGCATTCGTGCTTCATGCTCACTCAACGAATCATTTACCGAATTGGGGAGGGGCGAAAGTGATAGCGAAGTGCAAAAACAAGGGGAGTAGAAAGGCGACGGAAGCGGCATACATTGCAACGAACGAAACGATCAATACACGGGTTGGGTTTATAAAATGGGCAAAATCTGCGGCCGTATATTGTACTCAGATTATAAAATAAATGTTAAATAGAAAAACAGATACTGTCAACATGAATTGTCTTATATATGTATTCTCTCTTTCTTTGCCATTTAACTGACGCGCAGTATTGGAAGTGTATTTGCATTTAGGCACATTCTCATAATATGTACACGCGATATATCAACAGGTATGAAACTGTGCTTGCTAGCTTTGTTCTTGTGTGTTCGTATTGTTTTGTCAATATTCGGGTGTTGAAAAAGTCTCTGACGAAACGCGTCCACCCATGTGCTGTATGTTTTTCCTACTCAATATATATATATATATATATATATATATATATATATATATATATATATATATATATATATATATATATATATATATATATATAGTTAACAGACCAATGCCGATAATAAAATAGAGAACAGACTCGTTTGTGACGTTTCGATATATGTGTATGCTTATATCTTCGTCAGAATAATAAATCGGCGTATCGTTCACACTTTTCGACAATAATCAGACAGATTATTGTCGAAAAGTGTGAACGATACGCCGATTTATTATTCTGACGAAGATATAAGCATACACATATATCGAAACGTCACAAACGAGTCTGTTCTCTCTCTCTCTCTCTCTCTCTCTCTCTCTCTCTCTCCTCTCTCTCTCTCTCTCTCTCCTCTCTCTCTCTCTCTCTCTCTCTCTCTCTCCTCTCTCTCTCTCTCTCTCTCTCTCTCTCTCTCTCTCTCTCTCTCTCTCTCTCTCTCTCTCTCTCTCTCTCTCTCTCTCTCTCTCTCTCTCTCTCTCTCTCTCTCTCTCTCCTCTCTCTCTCTCTCTCTCTCTCTCTCTCTCTCTCTCTCTCTCTCTCTCTCTCTCTCCTCTCTCTCTCTCTCTCTCTCTCTCTCTCTCTCTCTCTCTCTCTCTCTCTCTCTCTCTCTCTCTCTCTCTCTCTCTCTCTCTCTCTCTCTCTCTCTCTCTCTCTCTCTCTCTCTCTCTCTCTCTCTCTCTCTCTCTCTCTCTCTCTCTCTCTCTCTCTCTCTCTCTCTCTCTCTCTCTCTCTCTCTCTCTCTCTCTCTCTCTCTCTCTCTCTCTATATATATATATATATATATATATATATATAATATATATATATATATATATATATAGACCACTGTCAATCGGACACTGACACGGACTGGGACGGCACGACGGTGTGACGTCACACTGGCCTCCAACACGGCCTCCAACAGCTGCACCCGGCTGTGGGCACGGACACACCGGCTGCAGCCAGTAACGCTCGCCGCTGTGCTGGAGCCGCCCGCTGGCCACAGCAGCGACGGGTGCTGACAATCGTCCCGCACTGCAACGGAAAGGCCACACGACGGCAACGGGGGTGACTGCTGCGGTGGGATTTTCCGATAAATACGGGAATAGTTGTGAGCTCAGTATTATTTTGTGTGTATTTGACGAGAGGTGACCGGTTGATTTGGTGAGTGCGTTGATGGACAGGCGAGGGTAATTTGTTGATATTGTGAGTGCGTTGGTGGACAGGCGAGGGTGATTAGTTGATTTTGTGAGTGCGTTGATGGACAGGCGAGGGTGATTAGTAGATTTTGTGAGTACGTTGATGGACAGTCGAGTGCACGTGGTTGACAGCGAGACAAGCCGGCTGCTGGATGTGCTGTGACAGTGTGTCGGTGCTTGTTGTCGGTGTCTGGTGGTGCAGCTGGCGGCGGCCCGCTGCCATACGGGAGCGGTCGGTCGGCAGGCCGCTCGGCGGCTCGTCCAGCCGGTAGTTGGTGTCAGATCTCTGAGGCCGGTGGGTCAGAGCCGGTGAGCCCGGTCAGGGCACGGCCGGAGCACGGCCACGGCCCCGGCGGCGGCACGGCGTGCTTGTCAGTGGGCCGGCCGTGACCTGGCGGTGACCGGTCGGTCTGTCTGCCGACCGACCACCGGTCGAGCCCCGACCGACCACTGGGACGGCACCGGTGGATGATCAGGGGGGCGGGCGGGACATTTGAGACCATTGAGTTATGGAAGACCATCGTTATTCGTTCGTGACTGCTGATTACATAGTTCAGAGCGTATGTTCTGTATGTTTCTCGATAAACAGGTGTGTGTGTTGTATGTGAGTGAGTGGTCAGTACGGGGAGGCCGGCTGGCCGGCGGCCGATGGCACGCCGCCGCCGGCCCTGCCTGACCAGTGTAGCGTACTGGGAGCAGAGAGGTCTGAGGCTGTCACCTCGGCGCCGCGGGCAGCGTCGGCCGGCCGCCGCCTGCCCTGTCCTCTCCGGTGTGGACGGAGACGAACATCGGACATAGGAGCGTCCCCGGCGGCCGTTTGTCCCAGTTGTGGGGCCATGCCGGCGCGTCGGACGGCACGGAGGGAGTCGGGTCGTAGTCATGTGACTGCACGGTGGTGTGTAAGGTCGATCGACGAATACAATGTGCATTGGAGAAGACACCCAGTTGACCACGTGACCTCGAGCGACCCTGCACAGCGGACTGGGGAGAGAAGAAGGACAGGGTTGGGGGCTCAGCGGCCGCCGCAGAAACGGACACTCACTTATAGGGTAGGGACAGTCGGCAGAGACAGTCCCACCGGTCCCACTCATGAGACAGGGACAGTCGGCAGAGACAGTCCCACCGGTCCCACTCATGGGGTAGGGACAGTCGGCAGAGACAGTCCCACCGGTCCCACTCATGGGGTAGGGACAGTCGGCAGAGACAGTCCCACCGGTCCCACTCATGGGGTAGGGACAGTCGGCAGAGACAGTCCCACCGGTCCCACTCATGGCACACTGTTCATTGGTTTATTGAAGGCGACAGATGATACAGCTCAAGCAACTCCTCTCGTGTATGTATAGAAGACAGAGAGTAGAACAGACACCCGCTTGCCGGAGCAGGCGGGCGGGCGCGGCTGTGAGCCGCCGTCTCAACTGACACCGCCTATACAGCTCGGACGGCCTATCCAGTAGTGTATTGATATATACCTGGCCGTGTGAGTGTCACAACACGCATTCAGAACACTCAACATGGCGCGCTGTGCACTAGAGATGTCAATCGGATACCAACGTTTTGGTATACCTACCGATACCAAACCGATACCAACTTGGTACTTGGTATTTCAATCGTAATGTGTTTGGTATTTTGTTGGTATCATAAACCCTCGCTAATGTATAAGAGGCTAAGAAATCGGTAAAAAGTTGGTATTTCCCTCATTTTCCCAAGTTGGTTTGGTTTCGGTATTTTCCCGGGATTTTCGGTTGGTATTTAGTTAGGTATCGGTATTCTGATTTTCTGTAATTGACATCACTACACTGAAAAAAATAATGACACCTAAAAGGGGTGTTTTTTGAAGCGTACCAAAACGCGCAGTTTTCTGGAGTCCGATTACACCCGGAATCAGACACTTTCTAGGGTATTATGACACTGGTTGAGGGTGTATTTTAACACCGTAGGTCGTCAAATGATTCCCGGAATCATACGCCTTATGGAATAAAAATACACCCCAAATCAGAGTCATAATACTCTAGGAAGTGTCTGAAGTGTCTGATTCCGGGTGTAATCTGACTCCTGGAAACTGCGCGTTTTTGGTACGCTTCAAAAAACACCCCTTTTAGGTGTCACTTCAGGGAGTAATCGGATCTTGAGGGTGTATTTTGATCCCACACGGTGTATGATTCCGGGAATCATTTGACGACATGTGGTATAAAATACACCCCAAATCAGAGTCATAATACTCTAGGAAGTGTCTGAAAAGTCTGATTCCGGGTGTAATCTGACTCCTGGAAACTGCGCGTTTTTGGTACGCTTCAAAAAACACCCCTTTTAGGTGTCACTTCAGGGAGTAATCGGATCTTGAGGGTGTATTTTGATCCCACACGGTGTATGATTCCGGGAATCATTTGACGACATGTGGTATAAAATACACCCCAAATCAGAGTCATAATAAATACTCTAGGAAGTGTCCACGAACCCTAACTCTAGCCGTCTGTCCTGTCCAGTAACGACCGATAACATTGATATCGACTGTCGGTCCGTGTACAAGAGCAGCTGAGGTTTTCTGTGCGTGCCCTCTGACAGCTTTTCGTTGTTCCCTGTGAGGGTGCTGGGACAATTTAC